GTGCTCCATTCTTCTCCCTCCCCCTTCCACCCGTCCTCTCTTCCCCTGTTTTAGGGGCTGCACTTCATGCACCTGGCAGGTACGGAACACATACCCCCAAGGGGGCACGATCGAAGACGACGAGGGCGGGTACCGAGGGTTTGGGATATACGTATTGATTGTTGGCACATGGGCAGGTATGAGCGAACAATCTTAAACTTATTTTTGTTGTTGCTGTTGTGGTTGCTGCTGTTGTTGTTGTCGTTGAATTTTCAGCTTCTGAATTATTGTAGATCCCCTTGCCCAATAAGCCTGGCATTTTCCAATTGAACTGCTTCTCCCGGGGCTCGCACCCTGATATTTTTCAAGGGAAGACGAAGTGTCACCAAACTGCGCCCCTTGGCCCCTGGCTTACAACAACAACGGCTCCCGCCTGATACTTCCTGACAGTGTATTCCCAAATCGCGCTGCTCAACTTATGCAGGAATCGCGCTCTCGCGTGGGACCTCCTCGCCATTTATTCAAACGCCGCGCACTCGACACTCGAGAGAAACGCTCTCGCTGTGGATTTCACGATCTATTTGGGAATCGCGCTATCGCTCGAGACTTCCCCGCGATTCATACAACAATCATGATGAAAAGCCGCCTGCTCGACCTGACTGCTTGGGCCCGTCTTCCCGACCCGCCGGTCAGGGTCTACCCGCCCGTCTGCTTCTTCCACGTATTTTCTGCTCCTAGCCCCCCTCCTGCTAATCCCGTCCTTCCATCAGTCCTCTCTTCCCCTGCCTTAGGGGCTGCACGAAATACACGTTGTAGGGAAGAAAAATCCATACCTCCAAGGGGGTGCGATCGAATACGAAGAGGGCGGGTATCGAGGCTTTGGGATATACGTGTCGAATGGCCCGCGAGCAGATTAGAGCGAGCAGACTTAAAATGTTTGTTGTTGTTGTTGTGGTGATCTCCTTCCTCTCACAACGTGGAACCCCAGAGGTCGACATCAATTTCTCAGGAACTGGATTTCCACCCCGACTCGTTTCTTGACGGCCCCTGGGGGCCCTTGCGAGGGCCACCGGAGGCCGAAGGATGCCAGAAGCCGCCCTCCGTGTTTCCATGGGCAGCGATTTTCGAGCTTCGCGCTGCGCGAATGACTTCGCGCTCTCGCGCTGATCCCCCGTGGATAAGAAGAGGACGATGAGGATGAGGATGAGGAATCGGGAGCCACAAAGGGTCCTTCACCGTCCTCGTCGTCCTCATCCTCACCGTCCTGATCCTCATCGTCCAAGAAGCCATTCTCATCATCGGAACGATGAAGCTGAGGATGAGGATGACGAGGATGAGGACGATGAGGATGAAGACGAGGAATCGTGAGCCCATACCCCTGACGCAATGATTTTTCATGATGTGGACCCTTGGATGTCTCGATTCGACCAGTTTTTCATCCAGGGTCGTGTTTTGACGGTCCTGGGGCCTGGCGAGGGCCCCCAGAGGCCGAAAACTGGCAAAACCCTCGCGTGGTGATTTTTGTCACGACCAGAGGGGGTCTTGCGATGAGGACGAGGAGTCGCGACTCGCGAGACACTCTGCGCCCTGTGGCGGCCCTCTTCCCGCCACGCCAGCAGCTCCGCGGGGGCACCGCGAGCACCGCGGCCTTCGGCCGCTGCCGCGCCCGCGGGCGACCGGCCGCGGCCACCGGCTGGGGCCCACGGGCCGTGGCCGCGGCCGCGGACAACGGGCCGCCGCGGCGCCGCCGCCGCGGGCAAAGGTACACCCGCGCGTTCCACTTCTCGCCAAAAGTAGTTCCTCGCAAGTGGTCTGGATCCCCCGCTTGGGACCCCTACGGTCCACGACATCGAGGCAGGCGCGTGTTTTTTTCCGGGCCTTTGCAAGAAGGCCCTCTGCGAGTCGAGCAGTGCAGCGCGCTCGGTGAGAAGGGCCACCGCGGCGCCGCGGCGGCGGTGGCGGGCGGCGGCGCCAGTGGCGCCCGCCGCCGGGCGGCCTGCCAGCGTGCGTCACCCTGGAGGGTCCGCGGCCGAGGCCACGCCCGGGGCGGGCGCGGCGGCGAGAAGCCGCGAGAGGCTCTCGCGCCAGAAGCCGCGGGCCTCCCGCAGGTCCACCAGGTAGGCGTTGCGCATCTGCGCCGAGAGCGCCCCGGGGGGGGGCTGCGGCGGACGAGCAGAGCGCGAACAAGAATGGAGCGGCTGGCTTTGGGCCGCTTGCGGCCTCGGGGGGCCCTCGCGGGGCCTCAGGGCCGTCGAACAACGACCCAGGACGAAAAACTGGCCCTAGGGAAGTGGTCCAGACCTCCGGGGCCCACGCATCGACACAGTTGGAGCGGCCGGATGTCTGGAAGGCGCACGGGCCCCCGACAGACTCTGAGATATTGGCGGTGTATTTCTTTCACAGCGGGTGTCTTTGCCTAATTTCGGGCCCCCGGGCTCACATATCGATCCAGCTCGAAAAAAGGCGCACAAAGATGGGGTCCCAGGCTCTGGTCGCGACTCGTTGCGATGTTGCATTTTTTGTACAATTTCGGATCTCATAGAACTACTACGGTGAGGACATTGGATGAACTTTGATAGGGGAACATTCGGTAAGGAATCCAGGGTCTGGAAGCCGGTGGACTTCCAATCGTAGATTGGCCATTAATATCGCCACCGCCCTCATTAGATAAAGAATCCTTCAGGGTCTGGGGCTTCCTAAGCACATTCCTTAACGAACGCCCCGCCGTACCTGTACGTGTCGATGCGGGCTCCTGGTTCCTGGGCGACCTCGAGTCCAAGGAGCCGAATGAGCAGAAACTTTCGCGGGTCCGCGCGGACTTCTTGGATCTGCGCTGGGCCTCTGGCGGAGGAGCCCCTGGCGCGCTCCGCGCGCAAGGGAAGGGGGTATAGCGCCGATCCAAAAAAGCCACGTGGACCGCGGCGTCGAGGCAGCTTCGCAGCCGGTCGGCTTCGTCACCGAAGCCGGCCGCGGGCGAAACGAAGCGACCGGCCAGCTGGCCAGAACCGATCTCAGAGCGGCTCGGCCGAGCGAGAGCGGGGCCCTGCGGTGGGCGTTTGTTGGCGGCGCGCACAAGGGGGTGGAGGAGGGGGGAGGGCTTCTTAGAAGCAGGCTGCTCCTTAGGAGGCGCCGGCTGTACATCTATAGAGAAGGCCCGCGCCCTCTGAGAAGCAGGGGTGCCTCCAAGAAGCCCTCCCCCCTCCCCCCACCCCCCTCTGCGCGTGGCTGAGTTTGGCGAGCCCTGGCCTCGGCCAGCGACCGGCCAGCTGGCCAGCACCGATCTCAGAGCGGCTCGGCCGAGCGAGAGCGGGGCCCTGTGCTGGGCGCTTGGCAGGCCCTGGCCTCGGGGCCCCGGGCGGAGGAGGAGGAGGGGGAAGAAAGGAGGAGGTCGAGGAGGAGGAGGAGGAGGAGGGGAGGAGGAGGAGGAGGAGGAGGAGGAGGAGGAGGAGGAGGAGGGAGGCCCCGGGCCTCTCCCGTGATCCTCGTCGCCCCGGCTTCGGGCCACAGCCCGGGCCGCCGGCGGCGGCTCGGGACGATCTCCGGGCACCTCTGGGCGCCTCTCGGCGAGGCGCAGCTGCGGCAGGAGCATCCCCAGGCTGGCAGGCCGCCGAGGACCGACGGACACGCTCGACGACCTCGAGCCCGAGACTCCCGAGCCTCGCCCCCTCGGCGGGCGGCGCCGAGGAGAAATGCGGGCGCACCTCGGCGAGGCCCAGCTGCTGTGAGGGCATCCCGAGGCTGGCAGGCCTCTGGGAGCCGGCGAGGACGTCCCGAGAGCACTCGAGGACGTCCGGCGAGGCCCCTCTCGCCCTACAGAGGCCCGCCCCACGGCCAGGCAGCGACCTGCTGCGCGTGCCGCGACCTGCGAAGCAGCAGCGGCTCCCGAAGCGGCAGTGCGGCTTCGGAAGGGCTTCCGAGTCAACCGGCTAGGACTATGTTGCTCCCATCGTACTGAAGGACCACATCCTGGAAATAATTTCGAGCACCAGGAAAGGTGTCGAAAGAGTGTCGAAGAATGTCGAAACGATGTCGGACGAGTGTCTCCCAGGACCCGACACGTGAAAACAATCGAGTTTCGGCATCTTTGGGGTGCTCGAAATTCTTCCTGGTGAACAAGGCTAAAGTAGGTTGGAACATCATAAGGCTACGAAGGCCCTGCTCTCACCGCTCTGGCGGGGGAGTTCTCAAACCAGGAGGGGGCCGCGGGAGCCACATCTCAGGCAGGCTTACGGCCAGGAGCTTCTGCAGAGCGTGTCGCGGCGGCGGCGGCCCCAGCGACGCGCTGTGCCTTGCAAGCAGATCGCGTGGTCGCTCCGCTCCGCGGGGCGAGAGACTGGGCAAAACTACACCCTGCGAAATGCTTAAGAAATCATGGGTTAAGAAATTCATAGTCTCAGAACTTGAATAAAAACCTTAAATGTCCACTCAAATCTTAGGATTTGCATTGAAGCATTAAGAATAATCGAGACTCTGGCCGAAAATGTAAGTTTCCTTAAGCATCGCCAAAGGTGTAGGGGCGTTTACGCTCGAGGACTGGGGCGCGGATAGCGTGTCGCGCCCAAGCGTGGCGGGCCGTGACCCGCGGAGCGACACGCTGGGCCGAAGTCCCTGACCGTAGGCGTTGCTCGGCGGCGAGCCAGGGGGGGGAAGTGAAAGGGGGCGGGCCTTCTCAGAAGGGTCAAAGGTCCCCCCGCCTTCTGATACATCTTCTAAGCCCTCCCCGAAGACGCAGGAAACTTCTCGGAGGGCCGGAGGGCTCCTGAGAAGTCCCGCCGCCTTCCGAGAGGGCATCCTCGCTCGCCGCCGCTCGCTCGCTCGCCGCCGAATTGTGCCACTTCGTTCCTGTCGCCCCATCGAAGGATTGCAAAAAAACCGGATTGCAATCCTGGGTTTTTTTGCAATCCTGTTTTTTTTTTTTTTTGGAATCCTGTTTTTTTTTTTTTGCAATCCTTGGGTTTTTTTTCCAATCCTGGTTTTTTTTTGCAATCCTTCGCCCCCCCCCCCCCCGAGGATCGCGGGGCCCCGCATGCGGTGCAGCGCCGCGAGCAGCTCGGCGGCGCCCGCGAAGCGGTGCAGCGCCGGCAGCAGCAGGTACTCCGAGAACTCCGCCCAGTAGGCGCGCGCCTCCCCGAGCCGGCGTGTCGGCAGCGTCGCCGTCGACGACGACGACGGCGGCTTCCGAGGCGACGGCGGTGATGACGACGACGACGATGACGACAGCGACGACGACGACGACGACGACGACGACGACGACGACGCCTCGTACGTTTCTGGGGACTCGCGCCGCCACGGCTGGAGCTGGGCAGCGCGGGCTCCGCAGGAGGGGTGTGTGGGGCCGATTCTGGAGCGGAGGCTCGAGGATCCGAGAGCAGCGGAGTTTGGATGCTTGTCGGATTGGGCTGTGTGTGGAGGTTCCCGAAGGCCGGAGCGGAGTTTCGAGGATCAGCAGGATGGAGCGGAGGTGGAGGATCGAGTCTCGAGGATCGAGGAGGAGGAAGAGGAGGAAGAGGAGGAGGAGGAGGAGGAGGAGGAGGAGGAGGAGGAGGAGGAGGAGGAGGAGGAGGAGAAGTTGACGTCGTCGCATCTGCATCGATGTCCCAATCCTCGAACACTGAAGCCGCGTGGGGGACACCGCAGAGCCTGGTTTTATAATACCAAGGGTCCTTATACTGAAACGGGAGCGCAAGGCCCGACACCGCTCCCAATGCGCGCGCAGCGCTGGGAGTGGTGTCATAGCGCGGGGGTGCTTCCTAAAAAGTTACAAGCGAAATTTTCCTCGAAGCTGAATTCGCAGCCTGAGTTCCTCCAGCCTATCCTCCCAGGGTCGACGACTGAGCGAACGAAGAAATGCGAGGGAGGAAGGCTCCGACGCCGAGCGAGAGGGGGAGTTCGATCCCTGGATGAGGCTGCTGTCGGACTGCTGTTGCTGTTGTTGCCCATACTTCTACTCTTGAGACCGACTCTGGATCGTCTCTGTGCTGGTTGCTGGAACTCTCTTCTGCTGCTCTCTGCCTGTGGCCTACCCTGCTCACTGCTTCCCGCGAATGCCATGCGCCAGCCCTCCTATCGGTGCCTTGCCTTGCATCTTCTGGATTCCGATCGCACGGAGGCAGAGCCCGATCAGCCTGTTGAGCGTGACCCAACTGCGCTTCGTTGCCGTGTCGATCTCTTGCGTGTGGCGCTTGTTTTTTTTCTGTGCCTCGACCAGCTTCTCTTTCTCGAGCGTCTTCCCGACTGGCCAGTGCCCCTCGAAGTTGCATGCCAGTCTCGATATTGGCTTCACTCCCTGTTTGTCCTGCATCTCGCTGGCCCTGCATGTGACGCACCAGTCCTCGAAATCCCACGGGCTGCCGTTCTCTCGAGCTTCGTTCCGCCTGCGCACGGCCGCGAAGATGCACCGAATGTTGTCGTTCTTGCCTTCCATGCATGTGGCCGCGAGGGCTGTGAGTAACGCTGCGCCTGCATGAAGGTGGGGTGAGCCGAAATCGTGCCCTGCCCCCGCGGCCTTGACCTGTGTCTCGTACCTCGTTGCAGCTTCCTTGATCGCCATAAAGACAGGGTGGCCCGCGGGGCCCTTGAAGTGGTTGTCCGATGCCTCCCGTTCTCTCATTCTCGCTTCCCATTGCAGCAGCAGCTTGGTCTTGGGATCCTGTGCTCCTCCGCCCTTGCCCGCCCCCTTGACCCTCTTGTTCGCGTGCTCCGCTGGCTGCAGCGCGGCTTCCTCTCGTTGCGCTGCACCGAGCCACTGCGACATCTAGAGTGATGCTGTGATTCTCTATGCTGGGCAAAACGTGCTGCTGTGCAAGGTGCTGGTCGATCAGATAAACCAGGAGTCTGAGCGACAAAAGGGCGCAGCGGACACTGCGAAATATTATGCGCCTTACGGGGTGGCGCTCGAATTCAAAAATCAGACACACATCTTCTATGCAAGACCGATGCTGCAACGTGCCGCTGAGCGGTGGCGCGATCAGAGAAGTTACTATTACACAGGATGCTGCAGTTAGCCATGTGAGGAATTCTGTTGGTCGCGCAGACCTTCCTTAGACTTTGCTCGGTGTCCTCTCCCTCGTGCGCAGATTCGGGCGCAGTGGGTGACCGTGCTCTTCTGATCAGAGAACTCTGCCTCGCAAACAAGGCATCTCGCGGGATCCTGAGGTCTATCTTCTTGCATGGGAGGGGTCGCAATACCCCCGGCGCCCCCCCGCTCCACCGGTGGGAAGGGGATCGCGCGCGCAAGCTCGTTGGACCTCAGTTCCGCGATTTTTTTTTACGCGAGTGTTCTCTCCCCCCGCCAAACAAACAAACGCAAACAGTTGCCGTGCCAAAACTGCTTGAGCCAAGGACTGGCCGCGGGGAGAATCTGTCCCTGGGGTCCAGTGTCGAGCGGGGCCTTTTCGCACTGCGCTCTACCTACTATGGCCGCGATCGCCTGCTCATGTGCCTTTTGGTGTTTCGTCGTGTCCTGCGGCCACTTCAGCCTCCGCATGCTCAACTCGGTGCCGAGTGTGCCTAGTTTGAGATGACGTCGCACTTCCTGGTTCCACGAAGCCCTGAGTTTGCAGGGCTGTTTCTTGGTGTATTTTCCCCGCAGGACCACTCGAGCGAATTTGTGCACCAGCTGCTGCAGGGGCTCCCAGGACCTCTCTGTGATCGGGCACAGCAGGTTGAAGACAAAGGCTTCCGACCCCGAGGGCGCCGCGTTCAGGATGAGTCCCGAGAACACTATCCCCTGTGAGCCGCATGGAGACTTGGGGGGTGGTCCAGCATTTCCCCATCTTGTGCCAAACCGTCTTGAAGGCCTGCATCCGAAACTTCTCCTCCGCCGAGAGCCCACTGGTTTAGTGCTGGCGGCCTCCGAGATACCGAGCCTCCGACAGAACCTGCCCCTCCAAGAGGACTCGAAGTTCGTGGAACTGTCGATTGAGATTTCCTCCCAAACGACCTGCCCCCTGGACCGCATTCATCTGTTTCTTTACGTTCTGGGCTCTCCCGATGTTGTGAAGGATGCTGTCGGCGACTCTATTTTCCCAGGGCGCAGCAGCGGGCAAGTGCTGCGTGTTCGCGCCCATGACCTTGCGGGCTATGTCATCCACGAAGACGGGCGCGCTGAGGTCTGTGATCGACTCGTCATGTTGTGCTCGTAGTTGCTCCGGTAGTAGCATGTGTAGTGCTCCCTGCCGCGGGTCAGTAGTCATCGTCTCGATGAGCTGCTGCGCCCCCGCGCCGTAGGCCTTGGCGAACAGCTTCGTCGCCGCCTGGTCCCCAGGCAGCACTCCATTCTGGTTCGCCATGTGCCCGCTGTGTACGCCATCGTCGATCGTGAACGTCCTGTTTTGGATTCGCTGGTGGAACGAATCTACTCTCTCTGGTCTCGCGAGCTCATCCGCGGCGTCTGCCGCATGTGACCTGTGGATGCAATGGAATGCGTTGCTGGCATCGTGATACCTGGTGAGGTGATGCATCCCCGCCCGTCGTAGTCTCGCCGATCCACGCTTGTGTGTCATCATGGCGTCCTCTTGTCGTCTGTGCGCAATCCATCCGCGCGCCCAATGCGGGGGAACACTGCGCCAGGCTTCATGAGAGAACGGTAGTGCGATCTTCCCAGTCCGCATAATATTATGATGGGCCTCTCACCTGCCGCGTACTCTTTACCATTGTGCTTGTGGAGCCTGGTGCGCTAAGCATAATGCCGCACCGCAGGCGCCCTGCATGCCTGTCTGATGGTGCGACATGGTAGATACACGCATCTGTCAACATGTGGCTCCAGACGTTCTGGTGTGGGTCTACCCGCGGCCGTGGTCGCGGTCCGCGTCGTGTCGGCGGCCGCTGTGGTTGGTTCACCAGCTGGTCTTCGTGCTGCGTCTGCTGGCGCTCGTGGTGCTGGATCATCTTCAGGAAGGGTGCTCCTGGCAAGACCCGATGGTGTGCTAGCCCTCCTGTCGATGACACTTCCTTCGTTCTCGTCGATACCTCTCGTGGCTGTATCGCCAGCGCTGCGCGGTCCTCTGCGCGGTGGCCGTCTGCAGTGCCAGTTGGGTTCCATCGGTGCCCTCAATGGATCTCCCGCCGCGCTCCATGGTGGTGTCGCTCGCCACGACGGTAATCTGCGCACTGCCTTGTGTAAATGCTCTTGGCACTGCAACGCCTGCAACTGTGCTTCTTGATAACCGATGTCGATGTCGGATTCATTGATCCACCCAAGATGCGATGGATGGTGTTGTTGCCTCTGTGCCTGAAGTCCATCATCGAGCGGGTGTCTCCAGCGCCCAGTCGTGAACTGTCTGTGGTGCTCGTGCTCTGTGCAATACTCGTGCTGCTGCTGCTGCTCGTATCCCCACCTTCTGAAACTGACTGGTCCACTCCATCGCAAACGGCCGTGAGGTGGGTACTTTGCTGTAGTGGCGACCTCTGGGCCTTCGGCATGTACCTGCAAAGAAAACATGCTATGCGGTGGGCATCGTAGACTTTGCGCTCTCGCCGTGCTTCCCATCGCGCTTCCACTCTGTCCTGCAGTCTGGCGTCAAGGAACTCCCGTTTCAGCTGCTTCAACTTGCGGCTGATGCGGGCGATCTCGATGTTCAGAGCATCGTCGCATTCTTCATGCTCGCGTGCTTCGCGTCGCTGTTCCAGAAGATTGGGGACCTGGGCACTCACGTTGAAATTGTCCTCCTTTCTCTCGGTCTATCCTGGCGCAGTCCGCAACGTGTCGTTGGCCACCTGAATGATATTTGCGTGAGTCCTGCATTGGTCATGTCAACGTTCCCTTCACGCTCCCACTGCTCAAACTTATTCACGTGTTGCTCAAGGTGGCCCTCGACTCGTCGGATGAACTCTTCCCACTGGTCACCGTGCAGTAACATGGCGTTGCAGGCCTCCATGTTGGGTTGTCGCCGTCGCGGCTGCTGGTGTGCGCGCTCATGCGAGTGGTAGAACGTCATCGTAAGAGGATAGTGATCCTTGGGCACCACACTCCAAATGTGCTGTAGCCTCCTTACCCTTCCGCCATGGCACCATGCATTCGGTTGTGTTGTGGAGCACTGCTGCTGGTACAATAATGTAGTCTGTGCGCCGTCGTACATTGTGGTCGATACCGTAGTAGGTAACCCCTGCATCGAACAAGGTGTTGATAGGTATCAACTCGTGAGCCTTGAGGCCTGGTCGAATGATGCCATCGTTGATGCCGCCCTTATCATTCTCGCATGCTCCAGACACCTGCGGTCGTGTGGGATCTTCTCCACATGTGCTGTTCAAATCTGTGCCGATCAGTGGGGTGCATCTGAACGGGAGCTTGGTCCATTGAGCCACTGCGTTAACTCATTGGCAATGCTATGCTGAAGAAGACAAGCTTCCTTCCCTTTGCCCCGTGTGAGGCAGTACAGAGAAACAGCTGCTACATCTTGTCTGCCACGCCGATATCTGATCATCATGCCTCGTCTCTGGAGCCTGCCCGTCGCCATTGTCACTCTCATAATGTATTGTGGTTTGTATCCCCGCAGACTGAAACCGATGGCTACACCACAGGCTGCCTGCGTCCTCTTGTCATATCCTGCATGCAGAAAACATGTGACGGCGAGGGCGTTCTGAACGGGACTGCATCCTTGGGCATCCTCAGTCCTGTGCCGTGCAGCATGATGCAATCATAACTCTCGTACTCGCGGCCGATGTCCTGGAGTCGGCCTGGCGGCGCTGCGGTGAGCTGGTTGAAAGATACCGCCCGCACGAGTCGCCAACCGCCGCCGCTCCCACTCCCGCTGCCTGCCGCCATCGCTGCACATGTGAACAGAAGGCCTCGCAGCGGGGAGTTTGGTGTGGGGCGCTTCAGTCGCAGGCGCATGCCTTCTGCCTTCGTGCGACTGAGGAGGAGGATGAGGAGAAGGAGGAGGAGGAGGAGGAGGAGGAGGAGGAGGAGGAGGAGGAGGAGGAGAAGGAGGAGGAGGAGGAGGAGGAGGAAAAAGAGAACCAGCCACAATGCATCGGCATCCGCAGAGGACGGCTAAGCTACTGATTCGCACACGCATTCTCTTCTCGTACGGCTGCCCGTCAATTTCAAGTTGCCAGCACTTTGTTCTCCTCGGTCACACTTTGGCCTACTTACCAAGAGAACTCTGATTTCTGCTAGCCTCTACTCTCAGTAGTCAATACGTCGGTTACACTGTGCTGCCACTTGGGCATTTCGGTAGGGGAGTGATTTCAGGACACTCCCAATGTGGACTACCGACCACAGTATGCCCAGTATGCAGAACTCCCTTCAGCAGGTCAGCAGGTCTTCCTTAACTCAAAATACTTTGGCCAGCCAGTACGATCTGTGCCAGCCACTTGCGTCAGTATCAGACTGCTCTGCCGGCACAGGCCAGCCAGTACAATCTGGCAAGCCTTAGGCTAAGGGGGACTGGGAGGCATCACTGGGAGGCATACTGGGGGAGGTTGTGGGGAAGGATACGTACCCCCCCCCAGGAACTGAAACGGTGAAGGGGTCCCCCCCCCGAGGAGCCGAAACATCAACATCTGCACATTCCCATTCTTGCCACTCTAGCAATCGGCCACCACTCGCCTCTTTGCACCTACTGTTGCTGCCCTCTCTAGCATCGCCTGTCATTCCTATTTTACCCACTGCTCGCCTGGACCAATGAGGATTTTGGGATGTCAGAGAGAGCGAGTTTCACGGGCGCTTGCCTTGGGAACATTCGGCGGCGCGTTTCGAACCGGGGGTGGGCCACCCCCAACACTCGGCGCCGTCGAACAGAACCAGGGGGACTCCCCTCCCCCCTAACACCCCTCCTCCCGACCCCCCCCCCCTCCCAAGGGGGGAGGGGGGGGGCTTAAACCCCCCCCCTGCCCCCCCCTGGCGCCGGCGCCCGCCGTAGCGCCAACGCAGCGACGATGACCAGAGAGAGCCCAGGAGGGCGGGGGTGAGGTTTCAACCCCGCCCTCCCCCCGCGCCAGCGCCGGCGCCGGCGCTGGCGGCGTCCAGCAGCGCCACCACCACGACCACCACCATCACCACCTCAACCTACCACCACCACCACCACCAAACCACCACACAACCACCACCACCACCACCACCACAACAGCCACCCACCACCACCACAACACCACCACCACCACCACCCACCACCACCACCACCACCACCCACCACCACCACCACCACCACCACACCACCACCACCACCCCACCACCACCACCACCACCACCACCACACCACCAACCAACAACCACCACCACTACCAGCAGCACAACCCACCACCACACCACAAACCACCACCACCACCACCACCAACACCACCTTACCACCACCACCGCCGCCACCACCAGCGCTGGGGGGGGGGTTCGAACCCCCCCCCTCCATCCAAGGGGGTGGAGTGTCCGGTTCCATGTCATGTCATGAAGTATGGATTGGGGGGAGTTCAGTAGCTGTGTGTGTGTGTGTGTGTGGGAATGCCAAGGTAACACCAGGCGTTGCAGTAGTCTACTGCATGCTCTAGGGCCCTTTTCTTTTCTGTTTTTCTGGCCCTACCTTGCCTGCTGCGCCCGCCAGGAGAATTTGCTTGTCGCTCCGCTAAATCGGCTTTTTTTTCTACTCCACTCAGTAACGCTCCAGGCTGTCGTCCTAGGCTTGCGCACCGTAAAAAAGAAGAAGAGGAAGAGGAGGAGGAGGAGGAGGAGGAGGAGAAGGAGGAGGAGGAGGAGGAGGAGGAGAAGGCGGATGATGATGATGATGATGATGATGATGATGATGATGATGATGATGATGATGAGGAGGAGGAGGAGGAGGAGGAGGGAGGAGGAGGGAGGAGAGGAGGAGGAGGAGGAGGAGGAGGAGGAGGAGGAGGGGGAGGTTCGAGAATCGAGGAGGAGGATGGGGGGAGATCGAGGTTGGAGGATCGAGGAAGAGGAGGTTCGAGGATCGAGCTTCGAGGATCGAGAATCTCAGTGAAACGGCGCACCTCCAGGCCAACCATGTCGCCGGCGGGGCGCGCCGTGTCCAAAAAAGGGTCGAACTCGTGGGCCTCCGCCACGGCCGACCTGCCCAAGGCCACCGGCATCTCGGGCGCGGCCTAACCGACCCCCAGCAAACCATCCCCTTCCGTGACGTCGTCCCCGCCTTTCAGGCTTCCCTCTGGCCGCATACGTACGTCTTGGGGTGAGGCGAGGAGAACGTCACGGAAGGGGATGGTTTGCCAGGGGTCGGTCCGGCCGCCCCCGAGCATCGTGCCTTCCTTGGCATCCTCGCGGTTTGAACAAAGATCACGCTGGAATCTGTTTGGCAACTTTTGCCCTCTGGAAATCTCCACCGAGGCCAGGGGCCGTCAAACAACGACTCGGGGTGAAAAGCTGGTCCCGGGGAAGGGGGTCCAGACCTCTGGGGGGCCACGTTGCCAAAACAGCGACGTCGGATGCCTGGCGGCATCGTATCTTTTCCAAATCGATCCTTCTCCTCGATCTCGGCCGCCAGCGGCCGATCCCGGGCCCCAGTAAAACGTGGGTGTCCGTGGCGACACGCTGCCCCCGAGGGGGGAAGGGGTCGGGAGCTCTCTGGGGCCGCGGGCCGAACGTGTCGATGTTCGATGCCTCTGGATGTTTTTGAAGCCTCCCGAGGCCTCCGCCGGTGATGGGGGGGAACGTAAGGGGGGGACCGGCTCACGGGGGGCAGCATCGAGAGTGGATCGGCGATACATCGCTGATAAATCGGCGGTAGGTCCCTGCTGGTGAATCCGCAAGTTCCTGGGCGGGTTCGGCAACCGTGCCACTATCGACGATCAATGGAAGCTTGGGTCTCGATGTGTCCCCTCCTGAGCCTACTACCCTCCCTAACGTTGCCCTTTACGTATCTCTGTTTGAGGCCCGCGTGCTGGTCGCATAGGCATCCCCCAAGACCTGTTGCTCCCCGGTGCTGCAAGGTTATATGGGTAGGGCAGCAAGCGCCTGTTGGAGACGTGCACGAGGTTCCGGAGCAATGACCTGTCTGGGACGAAAATGGGCACCCTCATCTTGAACAGGTGGCGCAACATGCAAATCTCCGGCGACCAGGGCAACACGACCACCGCGTGGAACCCGGCTATCTCACGGAACGGCACGATGCGGCCCTCCTGGCCCACTGCTGCCCTCCTCGTGCTTCTCCTCCTCCCCTCGCCTCCTCCTCCTGTTTGTTTGTGCAGACTCCGGTGGATGAGCCGTAGCCTCCTCCTCCTCCTCCTCCTCCTCCTCCTCCTACCCTCCCCCTCCATCCTCCATCCTCCTCCTCCATCCTCCATCCATCTCCATCCTCCTCCTCCTCTCCTCCTCCATCCTCCTCCTCCTCCTCCTCCTCCTCCTCCTCCTCCTCGTCCGCCCCCCCCCCCCCTCCAAAAGTCCCCCCCCCCTCCTCCCCCCCCTGGACCTGTCCAGGGGCGCGCTCCGACCAGAATCCCACGAGCCACCTGGGCGGAGGTGGCTTGGCGGGTTTCCTGCCCTCTCCCCACCCTCTCCCCTGGCCTCGCCGCCCCCCCCCCCCAGCAATACCCTGCGACAGGGCTGAACCTAAAAAATCCACCTCTTAGGTCTGGGTGGGTGGTCTTCGTCTTCGTCTTGTTTTCGTTTTCCCTCGTCTTGTCTTCAATCCACCTCTACCGCAAAACGAGGTCGAAACGAAAACGGCCCACGAAATCGCCAAAACACCGTTCAGGTCCAGCCCTGCCCTGCTAAGCCCTCCTGCAATGAACCTGCACAGACCCTGCAAACACCCTGCAAAGACCCTGCAATACCCCATCCCCCCCTCCTGGGTCTGGAGGGAGGGGGGCGGGTAGTTAGAGCGTCCAGCATGGCCCAGAATGGCTCCAAGAGGACGCGAGATCTCAAGATGGCAGAAAGGATGGGTCAAGATATCCGAAGATAGCTCAAGATATCTTGCAACATGCTCCAGATGACCTCAAAGCTGCTCCAAGACGGCCCCAAATGGCCACGGAGCCTTCCAAGGATACCCCCGAGAGTACGGACAACATATTCCTTGTTAGAATCAATATTTTTTTGCGTTCTCGCCTTTGCGCTTTTGATGGGCCTTGGAAGCCTCAAGACGGCCCGAAAGAGTCCCAAGAGGGCCTCCCAGGCCTCAATCAATGTCCCAAGACGGCTCCAAGAGCTCCCAAAATCCAAGAGGGCCTCAGAGCCCAAGGTGGCATCCAGGATCCCACCAGCCCTCTGGGCGGAGGTGGTCTCAGGCGTTTCTTCGTCCAACTTCCTGGTCCTACCAACCATCTGGGCGGAAGTGGTTTAGAGGGTTTCCTCGTCCATCTTCACCTTCTTCCCCTTCGGGGAGGGGTGTATCATTGTTTTTTGTATCCCCCACCCGACCGCCATCCCTAGCAAAAACAATACAAAGTGCACTTCGCGGCTAAATGTGGATCGTGCGCGGGCACCCCAATCATGTTGCATGGGCTTTTGACAGGGGCGGCGGGAGTGCCACCAGACATCAGGATGGCCACTCCGCCGCGAGTGTTCATTGGTTTTTGACTGGATGGTTGGGGCCGCCATGTTTCCCGATGTGCGCTGGCACACCTGCCACACCCTGCGTGTGCCCCGAACGTGGCGCACCTGGCGCGGCTGGAGCCTGCGGGACACTTGGCGCAAGTGGCGCATCTGGCGCACCAGGCGTGCCCAGCACGCTTGGGCCCCAGGGGCGCCTGGCGCGCCTGGTGCGCGTGGCTCGCATGGCGCGCGTGGCGCACCCCGCCCCAGCGTCGCGCACCTGGGGTCTGTTTTGGTTCCCAGTAGCTGTCCATCCGAAGACGACTGCTGAATCTGTTGAAATTCGGATACAAATTATGTGTTAGGAGGGCGGGCGGGAGTGGGCCAAAGTGTTTGTGTTTTGGAGAAGTGTCTGGATCATCGTTCCATATGACCATACACCCCACACACAATGCACAATGCACATTGCGGCAACATCTGGACCGTGCGCGGGAGACCCGTGAGAACTTGGTCTGGTTTTTGACAGGGTGCCCTCATATTGTCCGCTCTGTGCTGGCCTGTCACCCTTGTCCAAACACAATTCAACATACACTTTGCTGCAACATCCGAACCGTGCGCGGGCGCCCCATGATCATGTTGCATGGTTTTTGACAAGGATGGCGGCGGTGCCCTCAGACTCTCCGTTCTGCGCAGGCCCACCCTCCCTGTCAACACACAATGCAAAGTACACTGGGCGGCGAAAGCTGGTTCAGGCGCGGGCGCCCCGCGATTATTTTGCCGGGTTTTTGACATAGGGGGCGGCGGGGGGGGGGGCCCTCATATTGACTGCCCTGTGTAGGCTCACGATCCTTGACAATAGCTATACACAGTGCACTTTGCGGTAAAATCTAGATCATGCGCGGGCGCCCCGCGATCACTTTGCTTTGGTTTTTGACAGGGGCGGCGGATGCCCTCATATGTTCTGCTCTGTGCTTCCGACGGGACTCATGAACTCAGTGGGAGCGGGGCCCCAAGCTCAGATGCTGCCTATGTGTTGGGAGGGCGGGTGGGAGTGAGCGACACAACTTGCCGCTTGGGGTAGCTAGATCACTGTTCCTCATTTTATACTCCCCCAACCTCACACGACCGGCGACAAACCCGGGACCATGCCGACCATCCACGATCCATTGGAAAAAACAATACAACATGCACTTTGCACTACCATGCGCGGACGCCCCGCGATCACTCTGCATGGGTTTTTGGCAGGCGCGGCGGGGTGCCGTCATGTTGCCTGCAGTGCGCCATGTCAACAACCCCTCACCATCCCTGGCATCAAAAACCGTACCAAATGCACTTTGCACCAAAGATCATGCGCGGACGCCCCGCGATCACTTTAGACCGGTTTTTGACAGGGACTGCGAGGGGGACAGCATATTGCGTGCTGTGTGCAATGCCACCCCCCACCACCCCTTGCAGAAAACAGTGCCAAGGGCGCTTTGCACCAAAGTCCGGATCACGCGCGGACGCCCCGCGTTCACACTGCGTTGGTTATCGATAGAGAATGGCGGGGGTGCCGGCATATTGGCTGCCGTATATGCAGGACGACCATCCGTTTCAACAAAAAACGCCAAGTTCGTTTTGCCAGGGACGGCGGGGGGGGCGGCGGCGGCGGCCTGCTGCCTGCTGCGCTCAGGCCCACCACCCATGTCAAAGAACAAACGCACAGCGATCGCGGGTGCACACCCGCGCCCGATACACAATACTCGCAAGCTCGCCGCCACTTCGCACTGGCTTTTGACAAGGACGGCGGGAGGTCGACATACTGCAAAATGTGGCGCACCCGGCGCGCGTTGCGCACCTGGCATGCGTGGCGCGCGCACCTCGCGAGCTTCGCGCACCTGGCTGGCGTCTGCACGGGTTCCCGATACACCGATGGCGGCCCTTGTCCGTGCTGAGACTCGGAACCCGAACTCATGCTAAGACCCTCCATACCATCCCTGTCAAAACACAATGCAACGTGCACTTTGCCTCCAAATCTGGCGCATGCGCGGGCAGTCCGCGACCACATTGCACTGGTCTTGACAGGAACGGCAGGGGGGCCCTCACATGGCTTGCTGCGCGCAAGCCCACCACCCCTGTCAAAAAACCCAGACAAAATCCGCCGGCCCTGTCGGCGTGTGTGACGGGCTTTTCCGTTCGAGTCGGGCTTTTCCGTTGGAATCGTCGTCTCCGTCCTCCTTTGTTCCATTTGCCTGGGCCCTCTTCCTCATGCGCGCCGTCCAAAACAACATTGAACAACACAGGAGTGGAATCGAAGGGAAGCCCCTTCCCTTCGATCCCTTCCCCGCGCTGGGGGGGGAGGGGGGGGTCCCGGGGGGGGTCGCCACCCAGATGCGCTTACCTCCCGCGCCCAAGGAAGCTCCCAGGAGGCTCCAAAAGGTTCCCAAGAGGCCCCAAGAAGCCCAGAAGAGGCCCCCCAGGACACCCGAAAAGGCCTCCAAAAGGCTTCCAAGAGAACCCAAAATTCCCCCCCAGAGCCCCGAGAGCCTTCCCAAGAGACCCCTGAGGACTCGGGCCCACGTCAGCGTCGTCGTCGTCGTCGCTGCCGCCACCGTCACCGTCGTCGACGTTCCCCTTCAGGGTCGGCGGCGCCGGTCGTAAGGACTTCGCAATACACTTTGCCTCCGAATCTGGAGCATGCGCGGGCGCCCTGCGACCACTTTGCATTGGTTCTTGGCAGGCACGGCGGGGGGCCCTCGTATTGCTTGCGGCGCGCATGTTAACCATCCCTGTCAAAATCAAACTGCGAAGTTGACATTGCCCCAAAACCTGGATTGATTTTTGATAGGGTTACTCGGATGCTACTGATGTGTGATGTTGGCGGGGGGGAGTGAGGAGCGAGACTGCTTGAGCCTTGTGCGCAGGAGGTGTCTTGACCCCTTCCCTTACCCATTCCCCTTGGATCTGGACAGGGGGAGGGTTCGGCGAGCGGTCAGGGCGTCCAAGATGGCTCCCAGAGGGCCTCAGAGGGCCGAAGATGACCTCCAAGATGGCTCAACATGGCTGCCGACATGCTCCAAGAGCTTCAATACTGCACCAAGACGGCTCCAAGTGGCCACGGAGCCTCCCAAGGAAACCAACAAGAAGCCAAACCTCCCAACACGACATACCGAAAATCACTGTGTTTTGCATTCTCGCCTTTTCGCTTTCGACGGCCCTCCAGAACCTCAAGATGGCTCCAAGAAGGCCCAAGAGAGTCCCAAGAGGAGGCCCAAAGGGTCCCAAGACGGCCCCAAGAGCGCCCCAAGAGGCGAGTTTAGGGGCTCTCAAGGGGCGAAGCTACTTGAGAGTACACCCCTCTTTGATCGAACTCCTCCAGGATAGACCCAAGGTGGCCCCCAAGGCTCCCAAGAGTGACCTAAGAGGCGCCCTCGAGGCCCCCAAAAGGTCCCCAAGAGGCTCCAAATAGACCCCCAAGAGGCCCCGAGAGGCTTCTCCTCCGATTCCTCCTCCATCCTCCCCTCTTGGGATATGACGGCTTTATTCCACTGCATGATCCTCCACATCCCTGATCTGGGCAATTCGCCTGGGCATTATTTCTGGATAGGCTGGTGTGGTTATGCAAAGCGTCTGGAAATTCGAGGCTGTTGCAGCTGTGGCGATGAGAAGCCTCCTGGGACCCAAATAACTATAGCCAAGAATGTCTCGAAGCCTCGGTCCTCGAACATCGATTCTCATCCTCTTCCTCTTCCTCCTCTTCCTTCTCCTGGCCCTCCTGGCCCACAATGTCGAAGCGAAACTCCGGCCCAGCCATACGTTGCACGCCCTTGATAAAGAACGTCTCGTACTTCAGCCGCCCCCGGCTGTGCACCAGCACTTCCCCTCTCGCACCCTCGACTGGCACTCTGGCAGGGAGCCAGAAAACGGCACACGACATGTGCAGAAGCTTTCGGAGGTCCGCGCGTGCCTGCGAGGTCGGCGCTGGACCGCCCTCCCCGCGCCCCTTCCGTGGCGCGCGAAGCGCACCAGGGGCGGCGCTGGAGGTGCCGCCGCCAGGGGTGCAGGGGACGGGGGCTCAGCGATCACCCAAGAAGCCCGCACGGACCTCCGAGAGCCGGCTGCACCTGCGGCTTCCTGGCCCCCGGTCCCCAGGCATCCGGCGACGTGCTCTTCAAAGCGCAGCCCAAATGTGCCGACCGCTGTCCCGGATCCTGTTTTCGTGCCCCCGGGGGCCGAGGACGAACGGGCCCCCCGGGGGGCCGGCACCGAGGACACACGCCATGATTGAACAAGAAACCACGTCGTCGGAGATCTGGGTCTGGGCTGGTAGGTGGCGTTCACCCACACGGACATCGGCCGCAGGAAGGGGATCTCCATCCCCGTCTGATAGAAGAACTGCTCGCACCGGAAGAGGGACTCGGCCGCGAGCAGGCACCGCCCTCCTCGCGCGCACTCGGCGACGTCCCGGAAGCCGTCCCAGAAGTCAGCCACGGCCGCGTCGCGGCCGCTCTGGATGTCCTCGGCCACCTGCAGCAGGAGCGGGGGCCCGATGAACACAACCAAGGGAACGCCTGTGAGGGGGAACGATTGGGGGGCTCAGGGGGTGAAACATCGAGCTGGAGTCGGCAATGCACCGCGGATGGATCGGCGATGGGCCCCCGATGCCGAAGCCGCACGTCCCTGGGGCGTGGTAAGGGCATCCAGGCCCCGATCGTCAGGGAGTGGGCGATTGAGGTTCCGCCCCTTGAGCCAGGCTCCCCCCAACGATTCTCGTCGTCGGGTTTTCGGGCCATCCGCTACTCTGCCTGCACGATGTGGGCGTGTAAGAATGTCAGGTGCTGCTCTGTAGGGTCTCTGTATTCTGAGAAGGGGCCCCCTTACTAGCAGAGTGCTGCGTGTACCCCCTCGCAACAGATGTAAGCCAGCGTGGGCCCCAAACAGGCAGTCATTGCACCATGGATCTGTAAGTGTAGGCTACGTGATGCCATCCAAGTGGCGCAACCCATGTGGCGCAGACAATGTGATGTAGGTAGGCCATGTTGTTCAGCCTCGACGAGCTCCCCAGGCGCGATGGGCGGCGACGCGGCGGCACCCGGCGGCGACGCGGCGAGACCTCGACGGAGCCCTCGAGCGGGCGGCAGCGAGGCGGCAACGGCGGCGACGCGGCGAGACCTCGACGGATTCATCCAAGTGGGCGGCAGCGAGGCGGCGACGCGGCGAGACCTCGACGGAGCCACCAAGGGGGCGGCAACGGGGCGGCAGCGAGGCGGCGACGCGGCGAGACCTCGACGGACCCCCCAAGTTGGCGGCAACGAGGCGGCAACGGGCGGCGACGCGTTGAAACCTCGACGGGCCCGTCCTCGTCTTTAGTCAGAGGGACAAGAACCTCGAAGTGCAAGCGCAATGGATCTGCGCTTACCTGCGTCCCGAGCTTCCAAGGTGGCTCATACAAGCAACAACGGACACCAAGATGGCCCAATATGCCCCGAAGATAAGCCAAGATAGCCCCAAGGCGGCCGAATATGGCCTCAAGACGGCTCACTTTGCATCCAAGTGGGCCCAAGAGGGCCATAACAGGACATCCAACACGGCCCGAGTAATCCAACTGTATTGATTTCCCTTGGGTTGTTGAATTATTTCGCGTTCTCGCCGTTTCGGGCTTCCGCCAGCTCAAGGCGGCCCAAGACGCCTCCACGGTGGCCGGAGAGGACCCCACGAAGGCCCAAAAGGCATCCAAGACGGCCCAAGAAGGCCTTCCGTGGGACCCAACACGGCCTTAGAAGGCCCTTCGACTGTCCAAGACGGCCCCCAGGCACCCACCATACGGCCAAGAGGGCCCCACGACGGCCCAAGAGAGCCTAAAGACGGCCGAAAAGGGCCCGAAGAAAGCTAAAAGAGAGCTCCAAGGGACCCCCAACACTGCCTCACAGCAGGCCAAGACGGCCCCAAGACGGCCCAAACGAGCTCCACGAGGGCTCCCCAAATAGTGAGATTGAAAGGTGTCACAAGTGGCTCTCCCAAGCCTGGAGGCACGGTCTGTCACGCTTGACGAGCCCCCGTGCCCCCTCGAACAGTCGCCACCCAGAATGCTGGGCTAGCACAGTCGCGGGGCTTGCCGCAGGCAGCTGGACAACTCGGGTCTGCCACGACCGTTCGGGACGATCTGGGCACCCCTGGAGGTCTCTCGGCGAGGCGCAGCTGCCGGAGAACACCCCGAGGCTGGAAGACCGCCGAGAACTGACGACGACGCCGAAAACCTCTGAGCCAGCCCCTCTGCCCAAACATCCATGTCTTGTTTTTTTTCCAGTGCGGGGCCCTCGGACGTCTGGATCCTTCCCACCAGGGGCCGGCTTTTCATCCCACGTCGTCTCGTGACGGCCCCGTGGCCCGGCGAGGGGCTCCAGGGGCCGAGAGCGACCGAACACCGCCCGCCGTGGTTTTTCCACGACGCGACCACGTCTGGGTTGTCGGCGCCCCCGCGCCTGGGAACGCGCGGACGGCCCACACCGCCTGGTCGAAGCTGGTCATGGACCAGGCAGTGCCAAGGGGGGTCGCCACTACAGGGGGGTCGCCGCTTCCCAAGGAGGCGCCGCCTGGTCGAGGAAGTAAGTGGGCGACAGTCAACAGCGGGGTTTACGCGGCATGACACAGCGACCTGACGCGTTATTCTGTTCGTTGCTGTTATTTGGATCATCAGATTATTCAACCACTTGTTCGTTTTCTTCTGCCATCTTTCAAGACTCAACAAAGTGGTTGGGGTGGCTTCCGCGGGCCGCCAGCGCGGCACGCTGCGCTTGAAGTGAGGGTGCCTACGCGCGAGCTGACGCGGGCAGCTTACGTGCGCGCCAGTGTCCGCGCAGTCGACCCCCTTGGCGTTGCGTCGCTCACGTGGCGCCCCCGCAGAACACCCCGGAGCCCCCCCCCCCGAACGACCCCCCGCGCGTCCCCTGCAACCCCTGCGGGCTTCGATCCTGGGGCCCCGATCCTCGGGAGGAGCTGGTGGCCCCGATTCGAATAGCGGGATGGGGCGTGGGGGTCGCCAAGGGGATAGTAGGGTGGCTATCAGTGGCGCCCCCGCAGAACACCCCAGAGCCCCCCCCCCCCCCCCCCCGAACGACCCCCCGCGCGTCCCACACTCCGGCGGGCTTCGATCCCGGAGCCTCGATCCTCGGGATGGAGCGTGGGGGTTGCCGAGGGGATCGTAGATCGGATGGCTATCAATGGATGCCACGGTGGGCCACACATGCCACGCTTGGCTCAGGGTTCGATACCTCCGTTAAGTGGGCGGAGCCCGCTTAGCCCAGATCGTTCCCCGCGAAGCCACTCAGGGCACACGTGGCCCACTTATAAGCTAGGGTAGGCCATATGCAACGCACCGCGGCATAGGCTGATCACCCCCCTATTCCCGTAGAAAGCCCCACGCCCAGCCCAGCAGACCTCCGACGTCATGATTTTTCCATGACGTGGACCCCCCAAAGTCTCGACCCATGCCCCGGGACCGACCTTTCACCACGAGTCGTTTTCTGGCGGTCCCAGGGCCCCGCGAGGGCTCCCAGAGGCCGGAAAAAGCCTCCTGCCGGACCTTTTTCGTGACCCGACGGGGGTCCAGGGCGTCCTCCCCCTCCATATGGCCCCTCATGTTTTTAATCCAAGGCGGGTCATTCGAAACGTGTAACTGTCGTCACTTCTGGGCCCCTGTGGCGAGAATTTGGCGGAAATATCGAGCGGGAGCCTCGTGTGGGAGGGAATTGCGACGAAGTCTCAGGCGGGAACCCCTGGGCCCCCACTAGGAGGAGGAGGAGGAGGAAGAGGAGGAGGAAGGAGGAGGAGGAGGAGGAAGAGGAGGAGGAGGAGGAGGAGGAGGAGGAGGAGGAGGAGGAGGAGGAGGATGGGGATGAGGAGGAGCAGGAGCATGGTCCCCCCCCCCCCTGGGCACTGCCCGCATGGTGATCAGCTCCGGTGGCAGCGGGGCCCCGCCCGGGCGGGGGAAGAGCAGCCGCTGGTCGTGGGCGTCGGGCCAGCTGCGCCGCCACGCGGCGCCGCCGCGGGAGGCGGCACGCGCCGCGGCGCCCGCGGGCGGCCCCGCCTGGCAGGGGGGGAACAACTGGCCAGGCCCCCAGGGGTCCGAGCAGACGGGGCCCTTGGGGCGCCTCGGGTCACGAGCAAGGGCCACGGCGGGCAGTTTTTGGCAACTGTTCGGCCTCCTTGAGGCCCTCGCCGGCGCTGCGTGGAGCTCCCCATATGTGCATCTCTTTGCATTGGCATTTCCGCCGTGAATGTCTAGGCGCAAGAAACTTCGAAGATACACGAGCTTGGGTATTGACAGCCTGGGAGAGAGTCTAACTGTGAATGACTTTGAGTGTGTATGAGCCCCAGTAGTACGAGTGAGTCTATGCGCGAGAGCCTGCGCATGGCTAAACTTAGGGTGAGAGTATCTGCACGTCAGTGACCTGAGCATGACTGAGCGTGACTGAATCCTCCTGGGGTCTTTTGGGGCTTCCTGGGGCTTCCTCACGTCTCCTGGGGCTCCTCGGGCCTCCTGGGGCCTCCTGGGGCCTCTTGGGGCTTCCTGGGGCTTCCTGGGGCTTCCTGGAACTCCTGGGGCCTCCTGCGGCCTCCTGGAGCCTCCTGGGCCCCTTAAGGGGACTCCTGGGGCCTCCTGGGGCACCTTGGGGACTGCTCCTCCTTGAGCCTCCTGGAGCTTCCTGATGCCTCTTGGGGCTTCCTTGGGCCTTCCTGGCGTTTCCAGGGGACTGAACCTCCTGAGACCTCCTGGGTTTTCTGGCGTCTCCTGGGGTTCCTCGGGCCTCTTGGAGCCTCCTGGTACCTCTTGGGGCTTCCTGTGGCTTCCTGATGTCTCCTGGGACCTTCTGGGGCCTCTTGGGGCCTCCTGGGCCTTCCTGGAGCCTATTGGGGACTCCTAGGACCTCCTGGGGCACCTTGGGGACTGCTCCTCCTTGAGCCTCCTGGAGCTTCCTGATACCTGGGGCTTCCTTGGGATCCAGATGTACACATGTAAAACGCGTAGGATTGGAACCACAAGAGAAAGACAATCCATAGGAACATACGTACAACACCACGGATTCGTGCCCCACAGGACGCCCAATCTATAGGAACACCCGTAAACCACATAGCATTGGAACCACAAGAGAAAGGCAATCTAACATAACATACGTAAAACACTAAGGATTCGTGCCCCAAGAGAGGCCTGAACTATAGGAACATACATAAAACTGCTCTAGTCATCCTCGCAATCTGGGCCCCCTGGGGTGCGAAAGCCAGCGCCTCGCACGCGACATCCTCCAAATCTGCTCCGAAAGTAAAAGATGTTGGGTCAGGAAACACGCAAACCGCTCGAGACATCCCCGCAATCTGGGCGCGAACGGAGGCTGTGAGATACCCCTGGCGCCCCCCCCATTCGGAGTGCCAGAACCAGCAAACCGCTCGAGACATCCTCCGACTCTGCTCTGAGCGCAGACGAACCTGGCCACCAAAACGAGCAAACCGCTCGAGATATCCTCGTAATC